GGCGACACAGCTGGGTCCAGCGCTGGGTTCCGGATGAAAAGATGCACGTCACTTGTACGACTTGTACGATCTATGGTTTGTGCCAGGAGTTGCCTCAAATTCGTGTGTACCACAAATAACGCGGCACTTTGGCCAAATTGATCTTGGCTGTTTTGTGTGCCATCCGAGAGCGACTTCATGCCCATCCTACCCACATCATACACTACTTACTGCACCTTTCCAACCTGTGTGCGTCGTCTGGATCAAAGCTAGAGCCACATATCATTCTGCACGACACCCCATGGGCTGCAGCAAATAATGCCAGCAACTTCTTATCACCTAGCTCGAGCAGGATGCATGACTCCATAATCTCCATGTAACGATGGCTTGGTGGTGCCTCTGACTGCCATTCAGTCTGGTGGAGATATGTAGCAAGCAATGACCTTTGCCTCTAGATGCCTAGAACTCAACACTGACCCAACTCTGTCTTCATTGCCCCGTGGCCCATCATGGTGTTTGCCAGCCGGCGCATGCCTTGGACCGTAGCCACCGCATCTCTGCTGCAAGATGAGCAGCTGTTCCAGGTTGTTTGAGTAAGCACTTCTGCCCTGAACTGTGAACAACAGCGGAAACGGAGTCGTGACGTTCCTAGACCAGCATTGCTTGTCTTGGACCCGAAGGGACAGAACGTGGCCAAAGAAAGGCTTACCGTGCCGCTGATGTTGCAATAACGGCAATGCAGAGACTTTAGAGCCCCTGGTTGTGCAGCCCGGTGTAGATGGCAGGTCTCTTTGCATGATGGAGCAGTAAGCCCCCTGGGTCCAGAGCACTTCTTTTTTGGTCTGAAGCAAGGTTGAGAATGCGCAGCCTCCAGTAGCAGATTTGAGCACGAGTGAGCTTCGGCATCTGCGAAGGCAGGCTTTCTCCATAGCGCCGCAGAGCCCTTGCTCCACGCGGAGGTCTTCGAGGCCTACCCAGGCCTGCTGAGGATTCAGTCAGGGGGTCTGTACGAGGCTGTTCCTAGACCCCAAACAGGATTCAGTCAGGGGGTTCCTGCGAGGCTGTTTCCTCTCAGGGCCTGCAGCGTAATGTTGGACCCTGTTTAGTATAGGGCGCCGCCCCCCCTGAACAATTAGTATTCCTCTTTAGTACTCGGCCACCCCCAATTTGCCGCGCAATTAAAATCGATAACAACCTGGAATCTCGGTAGTAGCCTTGAAGCTGGTATTTGATTTCGTATTAGTGTAAGTACAGGCCCGGCATTACCATCAGCATTGAAACCTATTCAAACCCCTATTAAACCAATTGGAAAGCTGTTCAAAAGAAATATACATCTAATTCGGTGCAAACTGATTAAAACCTAATTCAAATCAATAGAAGTCTAATTACATTTTAATTAGGACCTAATCAAATTCAATTGGAAACCTATTTAAGGTCAAGTAAGGGTCCAGTAAAATCAAATTCAAACAACTCAAAACCAACTGAAAATCGAATGTAAACAACTTTTGAATCCATGTGCGCTTAAACCAAATTTAATTGAAATCCGAATGAAACAGATTGAAAATCGTCATCTGGCTTTTTGGCCAAAGGCTCGGGGCCTTTTAAATTGAATTACATCCTCCAAAACATCTGAAAATGTGGACGGCTGGCGGAATGAATTATTATTCCGGACCCCTAAAACAATTCCTTATTGAGGATCCGGTCCTCTGCTGGACTACCCCCCAGAAAAATTGACGGACCCTATGATTTCTAATAATCCCGATAAAGCGGTTTATATGGAGCTGGGGTCTCTGAGATGACAGATTTCTGGATTCTCTAATATCAGGCATTATCACGCATTATATGTAAAAGCTGTGATGCTAGAGCTCTAGGACTCCAGGATTAAAATCCTTTAAGGCCTTGAAAGCAAACCTAACCTGGGTAGAAAAAACAGTTGTTTCTTATGGTTGGCCCCCAAAAAATTTATTATTCCGGACCCCTCAAACAATAGCAGATCCTGAATACTTTTCTCGAAAAAACTCATTATTGTGGATCCCTATGCTAAGCCGGGTCTGACATTAGCGTGATGACTGTGAATAGAAAGATCCAGGGGAAGGTCACACATGGCATGGATTCCTGTACCTTGTAGTAACAGAGGCTGCCAACTGAATGCCGAATTCAATGACTGAATGCCGCGCACTGCTCGTACCAGCAGCCCGTTCTGGACAATTAGCACCATGCTGAAGATGCAGTTTCGACTAGCAGAATGTCTATGACAGTTGCGCTAGCTCTGGCAAGCCACACTGCAAAGACCCAGTAGGCCGGAAGACTGCGAGGTTGCCACTGTTTTGCAAAATCTTGACCAAGCAGGAGGGACATAAACATGCGGTAGCCGGTAGCCTCCTAACTCTACTGAAGTTAAAAGGCTACAAAGGCACAACCCGCATTGGCGCAAGAGTCTCAACAACTCTTGTGCAGCTGCTTGTGCTGATGAAGCATCCGCCAATAGAACCCTAAGCATAATCATATTGGTATACCAATGATAATGCTTGTTGTTAAATTTAACTTGTTTTGTAGTATTATGGTCAGTATCATCATTATCGTCTTAGTATGATTATTGTTAATATTCATTAGCTCTGCCAAGTGCTTGACTTGGAGGCTATGGAGGCAGCCTTTCCGTGGAAGGCTCGGTAAATATCTCCATCGCCGGCTTTGGCATTCAGGTCCCTCCCCCAGGGTGTAGGGTTTAGGAAGCAATTGCAAGAACCAGGAGTCTGCAATTGCCGCCATTCAATCCATGCCGCAGCCAAGCAGCGTGCAAAATCATCAAGAATCCAAGGGCTTCCGAATGAAAATGAAACCAACCATGTCAAAGAGCTGGGTTAAATCATGTTTGTTGACATCGTATCCTGTGTGAAAGATCGTGCCAAGGTTGTTTCATACGCCTTAGGCGGCCTGGATGCTGAATGTGGCAGGCGCAACTCGGCAGGTGAGGTCGGGCGAAGGGGAGAAACAATTGCGTCAAAACTAATCAGTGTTTTTGCATCATGCTGTCATTGGCACTATGTCTAATGATGCGCCTCCCAAAACTGGTGGGATGAGACACGGCTTGCCGGACGTGAGACTTCGACTTCAATAGCAAGACGAGAGATGCTCGCCATCTTTCTCCTTCGACGTGCTTCTCACAGCAGTTTGTCCTGCCTGCCAGCCGCAGCCAAGGCAACGTTTCTCAGGTTCCAAACGCCTGCGGAGTGCACGCACCTCGAGAGAATTAGCTGCGCATGTCAGTTTGATCTGAGCACAGGGAGTAGTCTACGTGTGCAGCTTCTGTCATACTTCAAGTCGTGCAGATCATGATACGTGAGTCGGCAGGTGAAGCAGGCATGTAAGCTCTTTGGTCATCGCCCTGAGATTCAGCAAGGTACATGAAGGCACCTCCTGCTCAAGTGCTGGAGGCTTTGGGAATGTGTGGGTTGCATTGCAAGTTAGTTCTCCAAGCGCTATAGCTTGACAAGATTTCGGGGTTGACCGTGCTTGTAGATTCGAGAGTTCAGGGTCTAGAATTCATCAAGACATGGCACATGGAGTTGTCGCAGATATTCTTCTGTTGGTATGAAAATGGCTTGCTGCAGTTGGGGCCTTCTGCCCGAAGTTAACTTCATGCTGTGTGAATCGTAGCATTCGCACCCGGGCTCTGCTATTCTTGTGCCACACATTGACATCATCCCTCGCCCGAGTCCCTTCAGCTTCACCGACTCACTGGGGGTTAGTAGGGAAAATGGGAATACCTTATAAAGGGATGATATGGGGATGATCTTCCCTTATGCCCTACTATGCCCTACAAAGAGCCCGTAAGCTAAGGTTTCAACTTCCCACGCTTCTCTGCAGGACACTTCTGGAATTCGTCCGCAGTGACTTCAGACCCATGGGCCTATGGTCCTATCTACAACGCCTCTGTGGATGGCTTGGCTGTCGGCTCGGAGCCGGTTGGCTTGACAAGTTTAAACAGCAAATGGGCTATAGTCTAAACTCCTTAAAGGAGGGTTATGCGGGGATTATATAGGGGAGTAGTATAGGGGTTATTAAGGGGGATAAATGGCTGAATGATGGCTACATAATGGAGAATGTAGGACCCCCCCAAGGTATAATAGGAATATAATAGGGCCCCAATATCACCCTCATTTTCCTTGACATGGGAACTGTTAGGGCAAGTCCCATGGCAAGTCGGCAAGCGCATGGTCTATCCCCTTCGTTCGCGCACGGGAAGAACCAGAGACTTGCTTAGGGTAATTTGAAAGGGTTTTTGGGGGATATTTGGGGGATACATATAGGGTCAGCATGCTAGTTTTCTAGAAGGGGGACCCCAATACGGATACCAATATGTGATAATCCTTACGGGGACGCCCGTAATGGTACCCGGTACCCCTAGTTTTGGGAAAGCTCCACATGGCCCAGGCAAGTTGCAACTGGTCTCTCCTTGGGCACCATCCATGACAAGGCGGCAGATCCAACAGTTCGGTAAGGCACACAAACCGTTACACAACCCAGATACGTACAAGAACCAGATGCAAAGCAAAATGAGGACCAGAGGCTTTAGGGTTTAGGATTGAGGGTTCTAGTGCTGTACCGGAATGGATACGCTTTTGTAATACCATGCTAGCGCTGCGCAGTGTGAGTCGCCCAATGCCCCATGGATAACGTAATTACCGTGTTGATTGAGTGGGCCACTGCTTCACCAACATAAGCTACCGCGAACTGCGGCACGTGGCAAATCAGAGCCACGTGTGCTACTAAGGAAAAGTGCTGTTGCTTTGAGATTTAGGGCAGCAACAGTGGCCACCAGTGCCTCTTCTGTGACTACCTTGTGTGGGCAGGCTTCAGCGTACCAGGCACCAGCTTTAGGCTTGATCCAAGGCCTGAACACATCCTAACTCGGCCATTATCCCTCAGACCTCACGGCCATAGCCACAAGTTGGGAAAAACTCTGGACCCCCAGACCGCTGCACAACACAGCTTCAGAGCCTGAAACTTCCTCCCTGAGCATGCAGGTGGTGGTGGTCCACGACTCCTCTGGCGGACGTGTGGCCTGCGCGGCCTTCCGCACTCACCACGGCGGGGGCTGCTACTCGGAAGAGGCCAAGCTCAGGGTGAAGCTCCCAAACCTGACTATAGTCCTCATGATTCCCTAGACGATCTATGCCCTTATTCCCTATATTGTCCCCATATAGTCCCTATATTTTTCAAGGTAGTGAACTAAACTAGACCATATACAGTGGCTGGCCTGCGGAGCTTTTGTGTGGGCGGTCTGGCAGAGAAGTGAATGGTGGCCACCAGCCCGGATTCAGTAGTAGTTTCCATTTTCTTTTCCACTATCCCAATATAACCCCAATATAACCCCAATATAACCCTAATATAACCCCAATATAACCCTAACAATATAACCCTAATAATATAAGCCTAATATAACCCTAATATAACCCTGATTAGCAATCATAGCGAAGCTGAGCTCGGCCGTGTCGTATGTATAGTCCCCCTTAAGTAGATAGAATATGGGGTATATGGGGATCTTATTCTAATATACCCAAAGGCATATTCTATCTACTTAAGGGGGACTACGAGGCTGCTTTTGAATCAAGTCAGGGCCATAGCAGTAGGTTTGGCCACCGCAACTTTTAACTTTTTCCGTAGGCTCCGGCTCCGAATGAACTAATTCTGATGTGAAATGAAGGGACTGACCCAAAGGCAGGACAGTGCACGGATCTGTTTCCAGATTCGTTCAACCCCATTGCTTCAGCGTTTCTTCAGTCAAGGTTTTGCTTTGGTGTGGTGGGTTCGCAAGCTTCCTGACCGTGGGCTAGTTGTGTACCCGTCGGCTGATCTCCTTATAGCTTCTAGTAAATGCTTGCCGGAACTGAACTGGTTCATCCAACCGCTCCACACCCTTTGTCTCCCTTGTTTTAGGGTACGGTCCAAGTTTCGCCAAATTTCGGTTTATTGGTTTATGCCTTTGGGCTGGTCCTGTTTGTTTGGCCTCTATCAGCGGCATGCATCCTTGTTGCAGGATATGAAAATCGGGATCACAAATTGCTTGCAGCAAGCGTGTCATGCCGTAACCCTTGCATTTGAACCGCCCCAAATTCACCGTCAAGTAAATGGTGGTTTCCTTACAAGTTGGGTTGCTACTTGTTTTCACAGGGCTGCAATTCTGAAGCAATGAAGTTGCCAAAACGAAACCTGCAGCCCGGGCACCCGAAACCCAAAACCCCAGAGTCGCAAGGTTAGTAGTTTCCACTTTCTTTTCCATTATCCCTATATAACCCCAATCTAGCCCCCAGAAAACCCCAATATTAATTCCCAAGGCCTCATCAACTCCCAAAGACGCAAAGCCTGATCCTGAAGTTCTCACTTAAGCCGGACCTTCTCAAATCAGAAGCACAGAAGGACCCCCCATAATGGTCCTATTGGGATAGTATATGTTTTATAGGGATAGTGGAAAAGAAAATGGAAACCACATATAGTACCCCCCCCCAAAAAACCCTAAAACCCTTTAACCCTAAACCCTAAGACTCTATACACCCCCCCCTCCCCGGCTCACCGCTTCACTTAGAGGAGTGGCGAAGGCAAGCGTGGCTGAACTTCTCAGGAGCTTTCCAGAGTCCTGGCTGCAATATAGGGGTTATACAAGGGTTATATAGGGGTTATACTGCGGCAGGACGAAAGTTCGTCGCACTTGCGCATCCCTGCATCAGTTCTGCGGGAACCCCTTCCCCGGTAGACTCCTCCCCCAAGTCCTCCGTCCAGAACAATGAAAGTATTATAAATGTATTCCGGTGGATCAATTCCTCCGCTAGCCAGGCCAGCGAAAACGCGCTTTCGCGTACTCCGCGTCCTCCGCAACATGAAATTAAACAAGTGCGACGAAATTTCATTCCTGGTGATGTATAGGGGTTATATAGGGGTTATACAAAGGTTATATAGGTCTACCATTGGTCATTAGCTGGGCTACGAACGAGGTTTTGGCGCTAAGGGCTAGGAGACTGCGCCTGCTGGACGGCTGTCCTAGTATTGTGTGTACTAGTATTGTGTGTACTGTACTAGGTTGCCGTGCAGCCTTCTGTCCAGCTCAGCAGTTGACATCCTAGACGAGAGATGACTTGAGAGTTTCTTCTCGCTTGCAAGCCATATGCCTTCTGCTGACAAAGGAACGACACGCACGGCATTTTGTGCAAGAGATCCTCCAAGCTTAGTCAGTAGGTCCTCTTAATGTGAATATGACCTGACTGTAGGCTTGCCAGGGGAGCTTCCTTGGTTCCCCAGAAAGGAATCTAGATCCAAAGCTAAGGGCACGAAGATTTGGGTAGAACTCATTTCAAATATTATCTTCCTGTTGTATTGTCAAACGGCATGACATCTGTGTTCCGATGCTCTGTGCCAAAAGCCCAGGCGCTGCGGTCCAAGTGCGGTCTGCGTGGCAGGGCACGAGAGTTGTCAGGACTGTTTGCCTGAAAGTTTTGGCATGGTTTTGCAGGTTGGAGGTTCTGGACCTGAAGGCAAGTTTGGGCCAAGTGATCAAAAGTACGCAAGCCATTCCTGAACTGAATCTGGACGACTTGCTTAGAGTGGCTTCAGTGTTTTTTCGGAGCGTGGGCTACAGGCATGAGCCGGTTGGTAAAGGCTTAAGGAATGATTGGGTCCAATGGTGGCGACCGACTTCGCACAGCGCGGCACACATTCAGAGAAGGTTGACAAGACCGCACTCTCTATACTTGCATCCGGAGCTGTCAGCATTCTCAAGATTGTTCTGGGGCTAGATATTCAACAGGCTTGACAATGCTCGCACATCAACAACACGATGAGAAAGGACGACCACCAAGGCCGCGGCCACCACCCGCACCACCACCCCCACCGCCCCAACGCCACGACCGCCGCCACTACCGCCGCCACCACCGCCGCTGTTACCTCTGCCACCACACCGCCGCCGCCGCTACCGCCACCCAGCAGCGCGGTCGCAGCTGCAAGTTTCACACTTCAACCCTTCGACAATTCAGTCACATTTCACTGCTACCGGCGCAACATGACAGCCAACTCAAGGCATGGCCGTTTAGGGCTCCAATATTACACACCCAGGGTCCAGCCTACCTAAGCCAGAAAACCAAAATCAACCAACAAATTGGACAGGATGCCTGCTCAGCGGATGTACAGTGCGAGCAGTTTCCATTGAGACTCTGCGGCTCGTCTAGATGAAACAGGGGTATAGAGGTGATATAGGGATATTCTTAGGGCTTGTATATGCTTGGATGGTTTTCCCAGAGTTTATTTGGCAGACTTAGTGTCAGCCGGCACTTCAAATCTCGGCCGACATGAACATGGAGCACTTAGTTTACTTAGTTTGGTAGATTCTTCACGAAGCCCAAGCTCACTTGCAGAAGGAAGTATCTAGCAAGCGGAATCTCTGGATAGTGCCACGAGGGGTGCTGTCAGCATTTCATTGTCATTATGACGGGCCATGTGTTTATTACTATAGTAATCGGGCATCAACTACGGTTTAGTAGTATCTAACTTATGCTGTTGGCTATGCCCTCCCATTCCTCACATGTCATCCCAGAATGTGTACGAACCTTGTAAGCCCAGAGTCCCATGCCACCCAGATCTTAGATGTTCGAATTTGAAGGAAGGCCTCTCCAACAACCATGGATCAAGGGGACCTCTTGAGGGGGGATCTCCTGGGACCAGCTGAGGCAGCCCTGAGATAGGGCAGTGTGTTCACAAGCCTCTCTTTGGCAACTTGCCTGCATCAGGGACCTCCAAAGCACTGCCACTGATTGACCATGCTGCCCTTGCCCTTGGCGCACTGACGTAGTGTTTCCTTGTGGCACTCTTTGGGGTGAAGTGGTAGTTTCCCAAAATGGGGGGACCCCCATATAGACCCCAAGATATTATATCCTTAATATAGAGACTCCCAAAATGGTACCACTAATTTTAGGAAACCCCCAAGTGGCTTATCCTTTTGATCCTGGTGATCTAGTGGCTCCTCAAGTCGCCCTTTGTGGGCTACTTGCTTATTGTTTCAGGCTTCATTGCCCTGAGGGTCTAAGGACCCAAATAATAGGGTTTTAGGGCCCAAATACTATAATATTAATGGTATTTGGGCCCTAAAACCCGATGGTTTGGGTCCTCGGACCCTCAGGGCTGGTTGTGTTGGGAGGAGCAGGTCCAAACCGACAGCTGTCTCTCTCTCTCTCCCTCCCCCCCCTCTCTCTCTCGCAGGGATTTGGGAGTATTTTCAAGTGCTTGGCCATACTCATGTTATGGAGGCAGCAGTCCCACTGAACCACGGCGCCCGTTTGTTTGAATTTTGGATGCGTTCTGACTACCTCAAGGCTCAACTGAAGCCAGACACCCAGAAGTTCCAGCAAACCCTAGCCCTAAACCCTAAACGCTAAAGCTTCCGGAGGCAATCCAGCAGGAGCCGACTTTGCTGCGGCCTTCCTCTTCTTCCTGATTAGTGGCCCCTGGCCTAAGATAGTTTCTGGACTTTGTGGATTCAGGGTTTAGGGTTTAGGGTTTAGGGTGGGTTGTAAGTCTTGCAAAATGCTCAGGATACAGATATGTAGCATTGAACTCTACGCGTTTATAGTGCCAAGCCACAGCTCTAACTTTGGAAGAAATGAACAAGTTACTAGGACTGCGTTGAGCCGCCCTTTAAGCTTGCGGTCCGGGTCTGCACTCTTTGCTTTCCTATGAGCTTGTCTATGGGATCTAGCTAGGCATCACCGACCAGGTGAAGTTTGGGAGAGACGCGGGCGAGATTATATGAGCTATAGTCTAAACTCCTTAAAGGGGGGTTATATAGGGAGTTATATAGGGGACTACTATAGGGGTTACTAAGGGAGATACTAGGAGTTTAGACTATGGCTCATATGAGGTTTTAGGGTTCAGGGTTCAGGGTCCTTTCAGGAGGGCTGCAGGCTTAAGAGCTTTGCGAAGGCATGTGCCTTGAAGGCTGGCAGCCAGACGAGCTTGTCGACAAGAATGTATCCCGTGAGTTAACATCAGTCGGGAGCAAGTAGTTGTGACAAGAGCACTATTTATGTTAGAAATGACTCTCACAGTAATTTCAGAAGCAGCAGCGGCTTCAAGTGTAGTAAGTGTATCTGTATATATATATATAAGCACCTAGATTCCAGTTCATGTTCCATCTTCTTTTCAGTTTGATTCTCCATCATTGTCACATTCTCGGAAATTATTTAGGCCCTAAGTCCGGAAACGAAATTGTGGCTTCCATGTTCTTTGCCATTCCACTAAAACCCTGAACCCTTAGTTGTAGTTTGCATTTTCTTTTCCATTCTGCATATATATATATATCCTACATAATCCCCATATATCACTGAGACCCTAGACCCTAACCCCTAAACCCTGTTTTTAAAGTACTTCCCCTATACTAAACCCTCAACCCTAACCCTTAAGAATCCTCTCTTAGGCCTTGCCCTCAGTGCTGGCATCGGTGGGGGTGGACTGTACGTGCCGCTGCTGATGATCATCCTCGGTGTCCATGCTGAACCCCAGACCTGCCCCAGAAAGTGGGTTTAGGGTTTAGGGTGAGTTTTATGCTGCAACACTAAAACCCAAGAAGGGCATTGGAATGGTACTGTAGTAGGAACTGCAGGAATCTGTAATTGTGGCCGTGGGAAATTGATGGGCCAGGGATCAACTTCTAGTGCTTCTGATTTTGCTTCGCAGCTCAGCGCAAGATTTGGGATCCAGAACATGTGGCTCACGATCCGTGACTGGCAGGCCGTAGCACAGTATCAAGCTGAATTGAATAGGGTCCTGCGCGTCATTCGGGGTATGCGCCAGAGCGCCTTGTTGGCATGGCGGCATCGGTACCACAGCGCCGTACTCGAGCCTGCCCAGAGTCGTACAGTAAAAGCGCTGCGATTTGAAAAAAAGCCTGGCAGGAGACTGCCTAGTCTACTGCGGCAAATGGTTAAAAGGTTTGCAGAAAGCATGCACAAAATCGCTGCGCAAATTTGCACGCGCACCGTGCTGTTCTTAAGCTTTGCATTGCCGGAAAGTCAATTGATTTCTCGGCAATTCACCTGTCACAACTGTGTGCAGCAGCAAGCCATGTGGTACCTGACTAAGCCCATCAAACTGACCCCATGACATGGCAACAAGGTTTCCAGGTGCACGAAGCCACTGCCATTTCCCAGCCCTGCTTGGCGGGAGGCAGGGCTCAGGGCAAGTTACCCTTGCAAGGGCTCCTGGTTTTAGGCCTTGTTAGCTTTGTAGGTGTACCCACAAGAATGAAGAGTCATCCCTGTGATTATTGGCGTAAGGCTAGACCGATTTCAATACTCCGTTCCTCGCTTTCTCTGGACTCTTGTGGTTCCAGGGCCCAATGCTCAGCGCAGCCTAAACTCTTAAAATCTGTGCAGCTGCTCCACTCCAAGCCTGGCTTGCCTCTGCAGGTGCCGCAAGCGCTTTGGTTTACAACCTCCGACAGCGCCACCCATCTGGCCGCAAGCCCATGATAGACTACGACTTGGTGCCGCTTTAGCTGCAGTTCTGGTAGGTGCGCATACTTCTTGTAGCTAGATGGTCTTTGTCATGTCCAAGTACAACAGACGGCAAGCAATCCGGCAAACCATTGTGAGTGCTAGGACAACCATTCCAAGAAACAACCGTCCAGTGGAAGAAGAACCGGGTTTTGATGTGAAGGACTTACATTCTGCCCAACTTAATAAGTGTGACCGTTTGAAAGGCTTTCTTTGCAATTCTTTGTGACTAGCCCTCTTACCTGGCGGACTGCTGCGAAGCATACACGGGTCTGCTCAGAGCCCAGACTTGGCAGTGGTGCCCTGGAAGCCTAGACCTTAGTTTATTAGTATCAGTATCATTTTTGTAGTATTATTATTATTAGTAGTAGTAGTAGTAGTGCTATTATTACTATTATTGCTATTATTGCTATTATTACTATTATTACTATTATTACCATTATTACTATTATTACTAGTATTACTATTATTACTATTACTATTCTTAGTATTGGTAAGGCTGATCATGGGGCCCAACTTGCTGGTGGGAGCCATGGTGGCTTGGCTCGTTCAAGGAATGAGCTAGGGTTTTTAGCGTTTGGTGTTCCCCCTTACATAGGGTTTAGGGATTAGGGTTTAGGGTTTAGGAGTTAGGGTTTAGGGTTTAGCGTTTATAGTCCCCCTTCAATAGATAGAATATGGAATTGACCACTATTGGAATAAGATCCCCATATACCCCATGTTCTATCTACTTGGGGGGACTAGAAGCTTAAGGGTTTTGAGCAAAACCCCTAAGCTTAAGGGTTTTGAGTCTAGGGCTTAGTTAGGGCTTGGGGGGGTAATGGCTTAGGAAGCAGCGATGAGACGCTCCTTGTTGAGGTTCAGTGAGTGCGCTGGATTTGCATGTGACACGCGTTGGGTGGGGGCAAGACATTAAGAGAGAGCATCCCTCCAACCAGGGATTTACTTGGAAGGGCCTTCATAGAAAAAGATTTCGCTCCCATTAGAATGAATGGGTCCAGATGGGTGTAACCCGACGCAACTCCCAAGGTAGGCAGCTTCTTGAACTTTTCGCTGCCCTCCTGGCTGATACTGGTGATGCTGGTGGCGATCCTATGCCATTCGGCATTTAAGACCTTCAAGAAGGCTGGGGCAAAACAGGTTCAATGCCATTGTTTCTGTTGGCAAGCTGCGGCCTACTGATGTTGCGAGAGAAGCAAGTCCACTCGAAAGTCTGAAGCTTCAACATTTCAGCTTAGTGGAGCTTTGCTGAGCGAGAGCACAATCATCTGTGTCCAGCTAGACCAAACTGCAAACAAATCCCCAAGTTGAGAAGCGTGAAGAAGGCCGTGGAGACCCTGCGGAAGGAACGCGCTGGGGAGGTTCGCGGGCTGAAGCCGAACAGTTCGAGCCCAAGTGCCGGTTTTCGTTGTGTAACATTCAAGTACCTAAGTGGTTGACACCGCAATGTCATGGGTGGCCCGGCGAGTCCGCATGTAGTCAAGCCTTCTAATTTTGCACTTGCGGAGCAATGCGAAATTTTTTCATCACTCGCTTCATGCAGCAAGGTGATGCCCGCCTCTCCAAGAACCCCATCGAGCGATGCCTCAAGCTCCTCGGCCGACGCAGTAGGATCACATAGCATGACCATTCGGGTCGTGTAGTCATTCTCCTCTGGCTTCAGCACCATCCTGCCAAATCTTGGAAACCTACGGCCCGCAATCTGGTTGCAGAAAAGGGTGGGGATCCCAGTATACAAATAATACCAATGGAGAATCCAATGGAAAACATGGAACATGAAATGGAAGCTGGTGAGGCATGCCATAAAGGGTCCATAGCATCCATCCAAAAAGTGGCGTTGCTCAGGGCTTGGCCCAAATGGGACCAGCACGCTCATTGGAAGCTTACAGGCCGTGGGGACTACTCAGTGGTTCTTAGTAGGGAATATTGGAATATAATCCCTACATATATACATGTATACACACTCCTTTATTCCCAACTATAACCCAAATAGATGCCCTGGTACGATGTAGTGGTTTCCACTTTCTTGTCCATGTTCCCTTCGCCAGTAAGGCTGTGAGTGTGAAGCTCCCTGTATAGACCCTGTATGTTCCCTTAACCAGTAAGGCTATGAAGCGCACCTATATAAACCCAATATGTTTCCTATAAGCCCTAGAAAGTAGTTTCCATGTTCTTTTCCATTAGCCCCATGTAAAACCAATATATTCCCTTAACACGTAAGGCTATCCTTGGCTTTTCCAAGGTTGCTTGGCCTCAGCAAGCGCTATGCTGAGTTCGAGGAGCCAGCCGACACGCCATACCCGCAAGGTTGAAGGGTTGGTTCAGTAGGGAATAATGGATGAATGAATATGGTATAAAATAGGCGTTATTTGAGCTATGTTCTAAACTCCTAGTACCCTCTTGTTCTCCCATATATATGCCCCTATATAACCAACCCCCTTTAAGGAGTTTAGAGTATAGCTCAGATACGAATTATATTCCTCTGGCAGAATTGCTTTTTTATACCTTCGCATTCTACCATCCATCCTTTAGGGTTCAGGGTCCAGGGTCTAGGGATGCTCTTAAACCCCAAACCCTGAAACCCTTAACCCTGAAACCCTAAACCCTAAAACTAGGAGCTGTCTTATGCTCATCATGAGTCCAGGGCAAGGGCTCTTCTCACGTTGTGGCGTAAAGAGGGCCTGCAGTGCCGAAATGCTTATATAGGGGTTATATTGGGGTTAAATTGGGATAATGGAAAAGAAAATGGAAACCTGATCTGCGGACATGACGTATGAATTGGAAACGGCAGGAACCAACAGGCACCTGAGCCCCCCCAAGAACTGTGACCAGGACCCGGGGGGCCCCGCGGCGCCCCCTTCCGTTGTCGGCCGCGAGCTTGATGCAGGTGCCCAGGGTGTAGAGGTGCAGGCTGGATGGAGACCAAGCTTCTAAGTCAATTCTGGCTTAGCGCTGCAGCTCTGAGATGTACAGATGATTCATTTTTTCTGGAGTTTACGGTCAAATTCGCATGCAGGGGATCTGGATTGGGCTGACAGCTTGGATTTGCTGCTCAAGGGAATTTCTATGACTATTGCTATTACTATTACTTTTACCTCTACTATCATTACTACTATTAATATATTATGTATTAGGCCATGGTGCGTGCCAAGAAAGATGCCTGGTAACATGAACTCAGGGAGAAAGGCGGGGAGAGGTGGTATGATTACAGTGTAGTTGCGATCAAGAACTGGCATTCGTTACATGGCATAGGTCTGCATTTCTTTGTGGCATCCCCTGCCAAGGGTGCTAGGGGCCATAGAGCCCTTGAGTCTGCAATTCGCACCATGCCGCATCCATCTTGCTCTCTTCTTTATTAGAGCAACATGCAACTCCACTGACAACACCTCACTCTCCTGCAAAGCTGTGTAGCGACCCCAGGAGCCATTAGCACATTCCGCGCTATACCACTGAAGATGCCAGTAGTCGGTAGATCTGAGCCAGGGAGACTTCCCTGATGCGCCACATAGGAGTTATAACCTGCCGCGTAGGGCTGCAGTTGCCAGGGCAGATCAAGCTGGAGCTGCAGAACTCGGTGGACAAGGATCCTGAAGGCCTGACGTACAAACCTTCAGAGTGTTGTCGGGTTGCGCCCTTTGTCTCTAGTCTTTCTTGGAGTAGGCACAAGCGAACAAGAAATCACCTGGGCTGCGGGGCAGTTTCCGCTGGGCTCACGCAGCTCACGACATCAACCTGCTAGAGACCTGAGCTGTTCGGTGAAGCTTCAGGACAGATCCTGGAACAGAAGATGGCGCGGGAGCCCTCGCTGGACACAGCACAGGTCTCGCAAACCTCGCAAAACGTGGGCCAGGAGCCGCAGTACCCGCGCGGGAAGCTCATAGGCCACGGCTTGCACTTCTGGCTTTCGCGTTTTCAGATTTGAAGCCTTCCTGGTTGATTGGGGGGGAGCCGTGCCAAGTTGTTTCTGGGCTCTTTCCGGATATTGGGCGCTTAGGTCGGAGAGGGTGGGTGCTTCAATGTGAGTTGGTGTTTGTGAGGGCAAACCAGAGAGTTCTAGCCAGGGTGTGGACATCACGGGATCCGTAGCAGTGACTAACTTTTCATCAAAAGCTTGCAGGGGATATTCAAAAGATAAACATGGGAACGTCTTGCTTCCTGCTGTGCCATGCTTTCAACAGTTTCCCGTACTCTGCAGGCTTCTTGCTGATGTGGGTCGTGCTGGTGTGTTCCATCTTCTTCCGTGGCGGCCATGCCACTCCAGGCATTGTTGCCGTGTGTTCGAGCATGCCGCGCGACAGCAAGGAAACCATCCTGAATCCTGAGAATGCATGCAACAACTTACTGAGGGTCAGTGAGGAACAATGGAATATATATATATATATTCAATTATATATATATATATGAGCAATGGTCAATACTCGCGTATTAGGCACGAAGAGAAGGAATGCCATGAGATGTAGGAATCGCGAGAAAAGCCCCAAAAGCGAATGGACCCCCCAAAAGCGATACCCCTCAATCTGAGACGTAAGCATGACTGTGTTTTGGCTGAACCCCCCAAACGCGATACCGCTGCTTGTATCCTACGCCAAAACCCCCGAAAGCCATGGGACCCCACCAAATTGTCCATGGCATCGGATTATACAAGGAGTTTCGGCGAACGCTCATATAATAGGGATGATGTAGGGATTATACTCCCGTTCTCCTTACTAAACGCCAGTAAAACAAGGGCTTGTGTGTCAGCCCGGCAATGTCTTCGAGGTACTGGGTCATCGCCCTCGCCACCGCTGCCCAGCTCGTCATCCTCAGCATCTGGGTTGCGGTTAAGGAACTTCAATTGTTACCATACTGGGTACTGTATATAGCAAATAGTAGGTTTCCCCAGTATAGTAACTTAAATTGAGTTTCTTAACGGCAACCCAGGCATCTCATCCTCTGCCAACGCCATGCGCATGGAGGCAGAGCGAGGCCATGGGGTTCAGCGAGTGGATGGATGAAGCTATTTTACTAGGGGCTTTAGGAGCTGCTACTAGTAGAAACATTGCAGGCAGGGAATTGTGGGGGAAAGAGCCAGTTAGCTGGGCAGGATGCCTATTGCGAATATCATCTAGCTGCTGGTCGCAGTCAGGAATGCGGACGCACATTTATCATTTTGTAACAGTCTCAAAAACTAGGTGCCCGGGAACAAACCAGCCATGCGAGCTTAAATCAGCGCACTTGCGCTCAAAGCCTCTTGCCTGCAGTCCATGCTGGCCGACCAGCACAAGACGAGGATGCAATTCAATGGACGCCTGGGGCTCAATTTCAAGGATCATTCAGAAGCCTGCACCATGACCGGCGCCCTGCAAGATGCTGCAGCTGTGGGAGCAATTGCAGTTAGCACAACCGCAAGTCTCCCGAAAGAAGGCAGCGTTGCAGATTCGCCTCTATCAGGTCTCACAGTTTCTTGCCTTCTACGCAGAGGTTTCCCCATCTTTTTCCGTTGCGAATGTCAACAACTTGCCTTGACTGCATCGTGACTTCAGGTCACGAGTTCCCTGCTCTCAGCTGACCTATGCCGTGAGTCAGCGCGTTGTGGCATGTGTCACTAGCCCAGGTTCCGGACTGCAGTGTCTGTCTCCGTCTGGTCACTGTTTGCCCAGAGCTGAGCTATGGAGTGCAGTGATATTCATTGTCATGAGGTCCCCAAGCCGTTGTCAATATCGCAACAAATATTCGCGGGCCGTGGAGCACACAGCGTAAGTGGCCTTCTAGTGCAGTTACAGACTTGTAGTAAATAGCACAGATTCATCACTTGTGTGAATAAGTTCACGTTGAGCAGTGCATATTTGCAGGTCCAGCCCTGAGCAGGGATGTGTGTACACATGTCGGCGTATAAAGCCTGATGCAAGTCCAAGTGACCCTTGACATTGCTTACCACATTTGCTTTTCTCAAATGTCTACCACTGAACTGCCAAGTCTTGAGGGATTAACTCGGGTCTGGAAGTTTGAAGCTAAGTACAGCTGAGTAAGCCACAGGAACGTGGGGTGTTGAGGCTGGCATGCTTGCTGCACTTTGCGGCATCGGCGGCGGCATGATCATGGGTGCGGCCTTGCATTAGAGATCGATTCATTGCTGACGTCTTGAGCTGCATGCACTGCACGCAGAAGCGCTGGAAGATGCTGCGCTTTGTGCAAGTTCGTCGCTCTGGTGCAGGTCCTAAGCTGTTGGACCTGGGGTGCTTGCCGCAGGTCGGATGAGTGGTGATGGTTTGCCTGTAATGATGATAGGTGGTCAGGAGTCTTGTGTAAGCCTCCTGGAAGGGATGAGGCGAAGCTGCACAGAGGCATGTTGATAACAAGCCTGCGGAGCGGAAGCGGAAGCTTGACGAAGCTTGACAACAGCATGTCACGGCATCAGTCTTGTGCAGGTCCAAAGTGCAACGACTGCCACAAGCTGAGCAGCTGCTGTTTGGATTAGGGCCTTGTACCTTCGTGAACCCTGTGCGAACCGGCTAACCAATACTAGCATGCTCCCAACAACAGCCCGACGCTGAGGCTACGACTTTGTTCGTCATGTCCACATCAACCACAATTGCCTTCTTGGTGCAAGGCCTGGGCTGATTGTTCGAACTGCACTAGGCCATGCCCTGCAACACAACACTCCAGTTGCAAGTGGTGACCAGGCACTGCGCCCATTGACTACTCCCTCTTCCTGGGGCTTGCCACCGCTATGGGAGTGAAGCCCTGAGAATTACAGAAGCCGTCCACAGCTTTGAGCTAAGTGATGCTGCACGGACGCGTGTGAGAGCTGCAGATCGCACCAACTAAATTTGAAGCGGGATGATGGGAGTCTACAATTTGCTGGTTCCAGCAGGGAATAAGGGAATATATTCTGTAAGGACTACTATATAGGGGTTGTATTCCCTTATTCCCTACTAGGAGCCAGCAAGGCAAGCGGTGTCTTGAGGCCGTTGTGGGCAAGGCCGTGATTGGCTGGGTCGTAAAACGGACCCGCAGACCATCGGCGCCTGGGATTCGAGGCTTAGGCAGTGATAGGAAGAGAAGACATCATTCATGGAACCTGTCTTGCGCGCCTAAGATTAAAGCAAAGGCCAGGAATCTGAAATCTTGCAATGACTGCCGGTCTGAGGTGTGCCCTAACCCCTAAACCCTGACCCGTAATCCCTAAACCTTAGTGCCTCTGTCTGAGGATTAGTCATACTACTGGCACCTACTGGAAGAATTGCGCACAAGCCAGAACCATTTTACAGCTCAGTTGTCTGAAAGATACTCGAGGGGTGTCGATTCGTTCTGTCCTGTCAGGGCTGTCATGCTACTCTGCCCGGACAAGCGGAATGCTTCAAACGAATAAGAAGGTCAACCAGTAACGCCAGGAGGCTCTAACTGGTCATCGGCACCCTCTAAGCTGCGAATAATGGTACTGCTTGAGGTCATCATGTTCATCCTTGGCGGCATCATTGCAACATCCGTGCGCAGCTAAGCAACCCCAGCACGTTCCAGGAAACTTCAGTTTACACCATGCTGGCCAAGCACCAAAATCTATCTGAAGCAGAGCCTTGCCGAAACCTTTTACCCTGAAGAACAAGTGCTAGCTCGTATTAGGCAAAAGGATCAATTTGTGAGATGATTCAAGCAAGAGCTGCCATAATGTGGACTTCGGATTACTAAAGGGGGTCGTATTACAGCTAAATCAGCCTGAACGGAATAATGAAAAGGGAGTCGTATTAAAGCTAAATCCGAGCTGAACGGATTAATAACAACATAGGAACGGAATAGTGCATGCTGGCTTTTGGAAACGCCCAGGCTTTAGAATCCAGGGCTTAAGGTCCAGGGTTTAGAGCATAGGGTTTAAGGTTTAAGGATTAATTAATTAATCAAGGTTTGGGTCTAGGGTTTAAGGTTTCAGGTTTGGGAATCAGGGTCACAGGTTCAGGGCGTTATGTTCGGGCTTTGAATTTTATTTACAGGCTCAAGGTTCGGGATTGGCCCGGGACCCCAAACAACTTTTCCCGAACTTGTTTGGGGGCCCCCGATTATTCAGATCCGTACTTGTTAGGGGGGGGGGCTTTATAATCAGAACTAGAAAACCCCGATTACTCTTCGTAGGAAATCAGCATGCATCAGCGAAGCCTTAACACTTGTAGCGGTACTGTCTGGGACAACAGTGCCAGGCTGCAGCAATTCAAAGCCCTTGGCACACACGGAGGACTCTGAGTAGTGATGCACTTTGCAGACGCCGGCATGCAGTTTACTCGTAGACAGACCCCTATGCAATCCGTTAGGAGCACGTCAGGTCTTGTACAGTATGGGCCATTGGTAGTGTTGGCAGGAATAAGGACTACACCCAAGAGTGATGTGAGGAATCATGGCCTTGACATACTCAGGTGGCGGTCATGTCTGTGACCGGTGCCTCAGCAGCCTGTGGTACAACAACGGTGCTCTGTTCTTACGACGTTAAGTTGGGATTTCCCAAAATTAAGGGTACCTTTTAATTCTAGAGGTTGTATAGGAGGTATTCAGGGTTTAGGGTTTCCCAAAACTAGGCGTACCTTAAAAGGGGATGTAGGGGATACATAGGGTTACTTAGGGTTTAGGGGTACCTTTAAAAGGGGATGTACGGATTATATTGGAGTTATTTAGGGTTTAGGATTTCCCAAAATTAGGGGTACTGCT